TGAGAATTATCAAAGTTTCAGTGTACCATAATTACATTTCTAATGGGACTTTATGCTATGTTTTCAAACACAAGTTTGAAACGGTGACATTTTTAATGTTTAATTACATCGTTGATGCCAACTCCTGATTGATTTCCAGCGCAAATAAATACGTGAAATTATTGGATCGGAATGGCAATCTTCTACAGGAAATTATTCAACCCGGGTAATGAATGCTCGTTCAAATGTGCTTCTTTATTTCAACCTTCATCGGTCATATTCTTTCGATAAGGTGATTCATAATGAAGAGTAGAGTATTTCAGGCTTGTAACGTCAATGAAATGGGATAAAGACGGCGACATTCTTGCGTTAACGAATGACAAAACAACCGCTGTAACACTATGGGAGATTGGTACTAAAAAAACCGAACTTCTTGATGCAAATATGGGCAGCAAGTGAGTTTCGTTATTTTCTTGCAGTTAACGCATATCATAATATCTAAACTGTGAACTGATAGGTTGCTACAAAACTGTAATTACGAATAGTGATGATCAAGAATGCTCCTTTCGTAACCTCTAAGCCGAGGTTCATTGTTTCGTGCCAGAAATTGAGCAATGATGTTGTGGTAAGAGTGCTGTGAAATAACAACTAACGATTTGCTCTATCAGTCAATAATCAGATGAATACTGTAATCGTATGATTAAAGGTTACGAATTAGTGATTCTTATAGAGAATCACCAACGTTCATGGCATGGTCGCATAAATCACCGATTCTGGCTGTTGGTAACAATAAAGGAAACCTTATGATCTACAATCATCGCACTTCAAGGTTTCATTCCCATCATCTACTACAAATCCCATCTCATTTCTNCATTTGCTTATATCACTTGTACGGTATCAGTTTGAACAAGTGACCACTTGTGGAAATTTTTAGAAAAGTACCAGTTTTGAGTAAGCATCAACGAGCGATAACTTGTGGTGCGTTCTCAGACGAGGATTTGCTAGCGCTGGGTGCTGATGACACCTCAATAACAGTCAGTAATATGGATGGCGATTCTGTGTATTCATTCACGTGTAATTCAGATCCATCGCTGCTACAATTCAGCAATCTGAGACATCCAGTTGAGAAACCTTTAAAATCTGACCCTATGGTAAGCCAATAAGTAATTTGGTACGGTCGTTTTGGAAAGGAGTGCTTTCGAGGTTGTGCACGAATAACGCATCGAATTAGACGATTATTTGCAGAGCATGTTCGCAAGATAAATTCGTCAAGAATTCCAATAAGAAAAGAAAACAATAATATGTCCATCAAACAATGCTCGGAATTTTCTTTTAAAAGCTTTAATTTTGTGCCTTTTTGAAGCTTCAACTTCAAATATTATTCAATTTTGAAGCTTCAATATATTCACAAATGTTTTTCTACTGTTGAAATAATGAGAAGAAATGAATCAAAAAATAAACCTTTTCCAGCTAAGCGCGATTCTCGGCAAGAAGATTATGATGTTGGTGAATCTGAACGATTCAGAGAATCCAATTAATCTGCAGTTTCAGGCACGATACGGTGACATTGTTTCATATGTTTGGTTAGTGCCGTTTTGCTCCGTTCTCNTTTTTCTGAATACTGACTCATTTAGAGCGTTATTATTTCATTCTTCTTTTGGCCCAATATTTGCATCGAAATGGTTTTCTCACTTGAGAACTGTAATCGGTTGTGACAAAACGATGCTGCAATTTAATTTTTTCGATACTATTCTGAGCTCAGAATACTCATTTGAACGCTTTAAGAGAACGCAATAATTTCAGGTTTTCAGATGGTTATCTTCTGATTGGTTTCGATAAAGGGTTTGTTGTTTGTATATCAGCGCATGCATCTGAAATTGGACAGGTGATTGTTTCAACCGAGTATTCGATCACATCTCATTCGATCACATCTTATTAGCACGTACATCGAACAATCCCAAATAATACAAAAGAATTTTGTTCCTTACTTTACGCTTTCCACCAATCAACAAATGCAATCATACTTGTTCAGTGAAGTGCATTTGCACGTTGTTCCAATCAGTGTTTTCTTTACGTTTGACGTGCGATAAACGTAACTCACGTATGGGTCTTGCGTTAGAAATGTTCATTGCACAGATTCTTGAGAATATACGAG